AATTCAATGGTCGGAATTTTAGAGAGTCCACTGTCACGGTGGCGTCCACAACGGAAGAGGAGCTCGTCAGAGGAGGAACATGAAGGGAGGAAACACCGCTTGGACCCGATACTTGGCGTTTACTAAGCGGCCCTGGGCGATTTTTTTTTCTGAGCAGCCCTGCCCTGTTCGATTCCTCCTTGGGTGCGTTATTTGAACGGTTTCGCGAGGGGTGATCACTATGAGGGTCAATTTTCTGCTCTCTAAAATACGCTTGCCTCGTTTTCTTCTTTCTGGCTTCCTGGAGGCCCTCGTAGCCACCGCTAGATTCGCTTCGACATACTGGTCAGAGAGCACACCGGAAGAGGTCCGGGAAGTAGCGGCATCGGTACCGTTTGGTTTGCCCGGTTCGATGTTCTCCAGGTCCTTCCAAGGCTGTTCCGCTAGCCCTCCTTGTGCACCCAGGCTCTCCTGGTACCAAGAAGGAGCCTCGTGCCTCATTCAGCCTCCTTTCTTTCGGCAGCCAGACTATGTGGTCATCCCCTCTTGGGCAGAGCACCGCGCGCGCACAGTTCTGACGTCGTCCTGGTGGTCATCGTCGTCATCGTCGTCGTCGGCCCTGTCCTGTCCTCGACGATGGCTTCGTCGCCGACGCCGTCGTCGACGCCGCGACATTCGCCGACTTCGTCGTCGTTTCCATCTTTGTGGTCGCCGTCGCCGTTGTTGTCGTCGGGATCGTCGCCGTTGCGGTTTCATTTCCGTGGTCGCCGCGGTCGTCGTCGTGCTCGTCGTCGTCGTCGTTGTCGTCGGGACCTCGCCGCTGCCGTCGTCGTCGGCGCCGCCCGCGCCACGTGTTTTGTTGTGGCCGTCGAGGTCGTGCAGTGCACCGCGCAGGAGCGAGACGCCGCGCGCTCGGTACCTTCGGTGGGGCGCCAGCGGCGGCGGCCCTCGACGACAGCGGCGTCGGCGACGTCGTCGACGGCGGCCTCGACGACGACGACGTCGTCGAGCGTGGACGGTGAGGGAGGATCGGTCGGTGGGAAAAGAAGGACGAGGGACGGGAAGGAGGGAGTGCGCAGAGGTGGAAAGAACAAGTTAGGCGCGCTCGTCGTATATCTCTGACAGCTTCCTCGGGCCAGACGAAAGGGGGCGGGGGGATAGGGAAAGGGGGGGTGCGAAATCTGCTGCATGCAGCTGGTTTCAGCCCCACCGAGGGGCCCATTCCTCGATGCATGGCCGCCTCCGGCGCCGGGAGTCGCCGGGAGAATCAGCTACGCGAGCTGATTCTCACCCCCCCACTTTGCTATCCGCTCCCTTCGCCCGGTCCGACTTACGCCCTCCCACCCATCCCTTCACATGGCGCTGATCTGTTCTCTGTCCACAGAAGCGCTGAGCGGACCTTGGATTCCAAAAGGGACCCCAACGTCTTGAGAGCGATCGGAATACGGGAGCTGCGTGCACTGGAGGAGGAGGAGGAGGAGGAGGTGGCGGAGGAGAAGATGCTGAAAAGGAGGAGGAGGAGGCCAGAGGAGTGGCACGATGACGGGCAGCAGCGGCAGGAGGAGCTGGCATGGCAGGGGCGGCGGACGTAGGAGCACCAGGGGAGCAGCGGAGCAGGGGAGAGCAGGGGGCGGCAGCGGTGAGGCAGGGCTCGGCGCTGGAGGAATTGGCCCGCGCGGGGGGCGAGGGTGCAGTGCGGAGCGGCGGGGGCGGCGCGCCGACGCCGGCGCGGGGCCCACGCCTGCAGCGGGGCAGCGCCCTCTTTTGGAGGGGCCGGGAGGCGGCCCGAGGCCTGCAGGCCCCGTCCGCGGAGGGGGCCAGCCACTCCCAGGCCATGTCTCAGGAGGGGAACAAAACACACAGGCACAATGCATTGTCGATCCCGCAGGAAGTACGCGAGAATATGGGAAGTGGGGGGAAAGACAACACACCCAGAAGATATGGGAACATATGGGATTCTGTGAATTTGTGTGTATTTGTTTGTGTGTTCTGGGGCCCCTTTAATCTCTGGGGGAGGGGAGGATCTCATCATGCCCAGGAGTTGCCGAGACGAGCGAAGGAGCAGCGGGAGGAGGGGGGCCAGAGTACACCCATGATGTATCAGCGATGTCGCATTGCACCCTCCAGTTCCAAGTTCCTTGCCCATGAGTGCCCACCGTCATCCTGCTTTACTTCACCGAACGCGTTCCGTTACACGCGAAGTGCCTACTCGCAAACGTCCAACAAAAACACATGTTTGCCTCGATGTAGTTCGTGAATTCCGAATTCCCCGCGGCGAATCCGGGTCATTTGCTAGTAGTTGCTCTTAGGAGTAGTGGAACGCGCTCGTATATTCCAGCGCGAGCCATTCTCAGCACGAGTGCCCATGCGCATTCTGCTCCCTCCGCCCCCATTGGAAAGACGAGCGCCGCATCGGCCCGCAGTTCCGGTGGCAGCTTCCTTTGGAAGCTGCCCTTCCATCCTTCGAATACGACTAGGGAGCCAAATGCGATCCCTACCCCTCCCCCCCATGATTTCTGAGGGGGAGGGTGGGTTTCGTTTCATTCGGGAGCTCCCGAACGAAGCGAACCTCCTCCTCCCCCTCCTCTTCCTCCTCCCCGTCTCCTCCCTCCTCCTCCTCCTCCTCCTCCTCCTCCTCCGTCCTCCTCCTCCTCCTCCTCCTCCTCCTCCTCCTCCTCCTCCTCCTCTCCTCCCTCCTCCTCCCTCCCTCCTCTCTCCCTCCTCCTCCTCCGCCTCCTCCTCCTCAATCCTCCTCCTCCTCCTCCTCCTCATCCTCCTCCTCCTCATCCTAATCCTCATCCTCATTCTCATCCTCATCCTCCTTCGTCAGACCTTTGCTCTCGGCCACGCGCATAGGTGGGTGAGGGGGGGGGGCTTCTGAGGAGCACCTCTGCTTCTTTGAAAGCGCGGACCGCCGTGTCCATAGATGTGGGGCCGCCGCCCTCTAAGAGGCAGCCTCCTTCTAAGAAGCCTTCTTCCCTCCCCCTGCCCCCTTGTGCGCGCCGCCAATGTTCACAGAGGTTAGCGAAGTCTGCCGCAGGAGCCCCGTTTCGAAGAGCGCCTGTCGTCCTTTCGTGTCTCTGTTGCATGTAGAGTTGTGGCATCAATTGGCGAGGATATCTCAGGCCAGAGCCGCACTTTGAAGCGAAGCCGCCCTTCACCAGGGCCAGCGTTCGAAAGTTTGAGACGAGAGCGCGGCGTCCAGGCGGTAGGTCGTAGCCTCCTTTGGAAAACCGCTCGCCCTCGATTCGTGCAATTGCTTGATACCCCTCATTTTGCAAACGACTCCGGAAAATCATGTCGTAGTGGTTGGAAACGTCAGGCATCCATGCCGCAAGCGGCGAGGAGGCCCCGATGAAGGCAAGACGTGTCTGAAGGCAAGATCTCGTGCCTTCAGAACTTCACACATCCCTTGCCTGCAAGATCGCCTCCTTCGGTCAGCACCCTGCGGAGGCCGCCCGAGGGCCTCCCGAGGCCCCACGGGGGCCCCCGCGGGCTTCTGGAGGCCCACGGCGGGCCAGAGGCCGCGCCTGACAGCGGAGGCCCATGCCGAGGAGCACCCTGCTTGCCTCCCGGGTGCCCCGGGTGTCGTTCTGAGGGTTCTGCGAGGGAGAGCGCGAGGTCCCCACACGGAACATCCACGGGGGAACAACAAGTGGCATAGACATAAGAACTCGGAGGTCAGCGCGGATTTCTCGGATCGGCCCTGGACCCCCCTCCCTGGCGCGCGGAGCGCGCCAGGGGCGGCGCCGGAGGCGCCGCCAGGGGTCTTCGGCGCGGGAGGCGCCGCCAGGGGTCTTCGGCGCGGATCCGAGAAATCTGCACGGACCTCCGAGTTTTTATGTTTGTGCCATGTTTTGTGCCCCTAAGCCATGGACGTCCTCGACGAAGGTTTCTTTGTGGTCGAGCTCCTGCGGCAGCTCCCATCCTGCGGAGGTCGCCGGAGGGCCTGCGGGAGGCCCGGAGGCCCCGCGCGGCGGGCCGAGCAGACGCCTCCACTACCTTCCACAGTGCTGGGCAAGAGCACTCCGGGCCTGTGGACCCATCTGGACTGCGCAAAACCGCGCCTGGAGGTTGGGTATCTGGGTCCAGGTGGTGTTTTATTTGGGTCCGGGTATCTGGGTCTCTGGGTCTCTGGGTCTCTGGGTCTCTGGGTCCGGGTCCAGAAGGTCCTGGAGCTCTGGGTATCTGGGTCCTGGAGGTTGGGTATCTGGTTATTTGGGTCCGGGTCCGGAAGGTCGGGGGAGACCATCCACCCCCGCCCTTGGGCGCCCCGGGGGCGCTGCCGCGCGGGCGGCCGGGCAGCGTGGGCCGGTGCCGCCGCTGGCCGCCGCCGCTCGGCTCCGCGGCTCGCCGCCGCTGCTCGCCGCCGTGGTCGTCGCCGCCGTCGACGTCGACGTCGCCGTCGTCGTCGCCGTCGTCGTCGTCGTGGTCGCCGTCGTGGTCGTCGTCGTGGTCGTCGTCGTCGCCGTCGTCGCCGTCGACGTCGCCGTCGTTGTCGTTGTGGTCGTCGTCGTGGTCGTCGTCGTGGTCGTCGTCGTCTCCGTCGTCGTCGCCGTCGTCGTCGTCGTCGTCGTCGGGGGAGGCCGCGGCCCGCGCAGCCCGCCGAGGCCCTGCAGGTCATGCTCGACTGCACCTTCAAGAGCCCCCGGCCGCCGCCGCGCGGCGCGGGCCGCCGCGCGGGGTGCGGCCGCAGCGGGGCACGCGGGGCAGCAGGTCCCTGGACCCCGACCCTTCCAGGAGGGCTATAACAGATGACACCTCCTCCTCCTCCTCCTCCTCCTCCTCCTCCTCCTCCTTCTCCTTCTCCTCCTCCTCCTCCTCCTCCTCCTCCTCCTCCTCCTCCCCCCTCCTCCTCCTCCTCCCTCCTCCTCCTCCTCCTCCTCCTCCTCCTCCTCCTCCTCCTCCTCCTCCTCCTCCTCCATCAGTGGATGGTTTTCGCTTAGGAGATCGACCTGGAACCCGGGAGCCCGGGAACCCAGGACCCGCCGGAATCGGCCCAGAGCCAATGACCAGGAATTTGAGAACCCGGAGCCGGGAGCCGGGGAACCCAGCCTGCCACCAGAATCGGCGGGAACTTTTCGCCAAGTCTATCAACCTCCGCTAGGACCCCTTCAGTGCAAGCACTGATTGGGGAAATACCACCCCGACCTGGATGCCCAGACTCCAGTCGAGGTTTCGAGCAGTCCAGGCAGGTCTACAGGTTTGGAGTGTCGTGTGGTTGCGCTCTGGATCACTGGTTGTCCCAGCTGGGCGTCTTGGCTCAATCCCTCGGGCCCCGAGACCCTCGCAGATCGATCCGGCTCGAACAGAGGCGCAGAGGGTTGGGGTCCGAGGGTCGAGTCGTGATTTCTGTCGGCCATGTGGCATTTTGGTTGGCAGCGTCGGGTCTCAGGGCTGGGCCGGCGCAGCCCGGCACGCGCGGCAGCACGTGCTTCCTCGTCCTCCTCCTCCGCCTCCGCCCCCGCCCCCTCGCACTGGGCGAGCACGCGGAAGCCTGGAGAGCATCCGCACCAACGCCTTCTCGTGCGCATCGAGCAGTGGCGAAGCGTCTTGGCTGTCCTGTAGGCCAACCAGAGACCCTGTTGTAGAGCATGTCTGGCTAGGGCTGCCTTTGCCTTCAACACCTTGGGTTCTATGCTCTGAGCACACTGCTCTTGCTCTTAGACAGTTCTGGGGCTCTAGGAGACTGTCCTGACGGGGCTACAGGAATGCTGGCACGGCCGGTCCCTGCTCAAAAGCAGCGGGCTCGTCTCCCCGCCCGCGCAGGGTCGCGCGTCGGCGCCCCCCGCTCCGCGCGGTGCGCCGCGCCGAGCCACCGCGTGAGTGCGCTGTCCAGCGCGCAAGGCCAGGCTCCTTTCCTCAGAGCCCCGAATCATCAGGGGTAACTCGGGTCAGGGCTAGCTCGGGTTCGTTTTTTCGGGATTCCGAACCCGAGTTACCCCGGACCCGACTTACCCCGGATAATTCGGGCGTCCAGAGCCCCAAATCATCAGGGGTATCTCGGGTCAGGGCTAACCGGGTTGTTTTTTCGGGAATCCAAGCCCGAATCACCCCTGACCCGAGTTACCCCGGATAGTTCGGGCGCCCAATTTCGTCGCCCACGTTCCCAAACAGTGGAGGCCCACGCCAAGAAACACCCTGCTTGCCTCCAGGGTGCCCTGTGTCTCGACGGTTGCGCTACGGAGCGCGTGACAATCCCACACCAAGCACCCATGGACGTCCTGGGGTCTCAGGGGTGGGTTTCTTGTGGAAGGTGTCTTGTGTTCGGGCCCCTACTGCACTCCCGGTGGACTTTTAGGAATGCGGAATGTGTTGGGAGCCCTCAGTCAGGCGGTGAGATATCAGGTTGTGACCTGGGATCCCCCAAAAAGTCACCGCCAGGTTTGGGGGACACGCGGGGTCACCGCCGGGTTTTGTCACTCCTGCACCCACCTGCGTTCGGAACATCTTCGGATAATTGCACGAGTCCCGAAACTGGGTGGTGACACCACATCGCCCGAGACTCACCGCCGGTTGTTGTTACCACCACGTTCGGGGACTACCAGAGCATTTGGGGCAGAAACGGCAGCGGAGGGCGGCGTGTCAAGCAGTGGCGAAGCGTCCTGGGTCGCCTATAGCCCAACCGAGCAATGTTCTAAGAACCGTTTGCGATTTCCACGAAATGTTCTTGGAACATTTCTGGCGGAGTCTGTCTTGTTTTAACACATCGGGTTCATGTTCTAAGAACTGTGTTTTTGCTATTCGAACATTTTGGGGTTCTACGAACATGTCGTGGTACGGCTATAGGAATGCCGGGACGGTCGGTCCCTGCTCAAGCGTGGCTTGCCGCACGCACGACGCCGAAGCGCGGCGCCACGAGGAGGCCTGGCTGGACAGCGGGAGAGGCTAGATGGCCTCGCGCCGCGCCCCGGAGCGCGGGCGCGGCAAGGGCCGTCAGGGCCTTCACGCCACATCGCAAGAGATTTCCCCCGCCCCCCTCCTCCTCCTACTCCTCCTCCTCCTCCTCCTCCTCTTCCTCCTCCTCCTCCTCCTCGCAGGGGATTTTTCTCTCCCCCCCCCCCTCCCCTTTCGGGTGTTGCTAGAAGTGCCCCTGGCCCAAGGCACCCCTAGGATTCTCGGGATGGCCCAGGCGGCCTCCAGAGCATCCCTCACGAGGCCGTCAAGGCCCTCATGCCACATCGCAGTGGATTTTTTTTGTTTTTTTCTACCCATCCTGAGTGGGGTTCTTGTTTTCCCAGAACATCCTCTCCTCCTCCCTCCCGCCTCCCGCCTCCCATATCAATACCACGCCAACCATTCAAGCCTCCCATATCATACCATGCCTACCATACCATATCATACCTACCATACCATACCATATCATATCATACCGTACCATACCATACATACCACACACTACCAAGCAATACCATACCACACCATACCTACCATGCCATACCACACCATACAAAACCATACATACCACACAATACCGAACACTACCATACCATACCAACCAAATTATATAGCATACGTGCCATACCATACCACACCATACCATACCGTACCTATCATACAAGACCATACCACACCTACCATACAATAGCATGCCTAACATACGATACAATACCATACCACACATACCATACAATACCATACCAAACTACCCATACAATACCATACCATACCATACATACCTTACCGTACCATACCCGCAAGAGCGAGCAGGGTATCGGAGTACCACACTATTTGCTAGGTTTCGTGCCCCGTGATATCCAACCCGCGGGCGGTCGGCGGGCCAGGGATTGTCCAAGAGGGCCCCTAGACTCCCCAGGCGGCTTGCAAGATGCAGCCGCTCCAGTTTTGAAGCGCGGCCGCTCTGTGGCGCTGCTCATCGCCAGGCCGTTTGATATCACTTGCCCCCCCCCGCCCCTGCGCCCCATCCCTTGAAGGCCTTCGCAAGATGCGGTGGGACGTCTCAGAAGCCCTCGCGCCTCCTGAAAAGTTTTCTGCGTCGTCGAGACAAGCTTCGAACACTTTTCAGAAGGCCCGGGACTTCGGAGCTTTCCAATAAGGCCTGGCCGGTCTCATTTCCCCCCTCGCCCGCCGCACGGGGGGCTCGATGCCCTTAGGTTGCCCGAGAGGGGGCACGAAGGGCGCACGCTTCTTCGCCCCTCCTTCTGCCTCCGACGTCGTGACTTTTTCTTAGCGTCGCTTCCCTGACGTCTCGACCCATCTCCCGGGACCGGCTTTTCGTCCCGAATCGATGTTTGACGGTCCCGAGGCCCAGCAATGGCTTCCAGAAGTAGAAAACGATAAATAACACTCCGTCGCTCAGCACCCACCAAACCACCCTAGCCTAACCCGAAGTCCCAAATTTATCTTCGATTTCAAGTGGGGGGGGTCAGGGAACATTGAAAAAACACGTGGAACCCGTACCCCCCCCAACCCGAAATTCGAGTCAAATTCGGGTCTTCGGGTTGGGTTGGGGTGGTGTGGTAGGTAGTCAGTCGCGAGGGGGTCTGGAGCAATCGCCCCCCCCCCCTCGCGCAACGCCCGACCGCCCGTCGGCGCCGCCGCCCTGGGCGCGCGCCGCCCGGAGCGGCTGCCGGCTGCCGCCCGCGCGCCCCGGCCCCGCGCGCACCCGGGCCCTCCCTCGGCGACTACAAAGCGTATGGTTACGCCAGGGTGTGGTTTGCGATCGGCACCGTCGGGGCCTGGGGGGCACGACACTGTCCTCGTCGGGCCTCCTCAGGGCGCGGCGGAGAGCTCTGTTGAGGTCCTCGCCCGCCCCCCAGGGTGCCCTTCAGGGTGCCGTTTGCAAACCACACCCTTTGCAAACCCCACCCTTCGGAGTCGCCGACTCCCTGCGCGAGGAGGGTGCTGACACGCGACCGGCAGCCCGACGACGATGCCCCGGAGGAGCGTACGGGCGCCGCGCCACGAGCCTGAAGTCGGGCCTGTCCCCCTAGAGGGGGATTCTCGACGGAAAAAAAAAGTATCCCCCAAATAATCAAAAAATAAGCCAAAAATAGTCAGAGGACTATGTTTGGTGTATGTTCGGCATTTTTGGTGCATTTTTGGGGTATTTCTTATTCTTCGTCGAAAATCCCCTTGTGGGGGGACACGCCCGACATAACACGAGCCTTTCAAGCGGGGGGTGGTTCGGGAGCCTTGAGACCGGGGTCAATGCAAACGGGGGTCAGCCAGGGCACCGGATCTTGCAGGATCTTGCTTTAAAGACCCCCTCTGGCTGACCCGGGTTAGCGAACAGCTCGTGGCCGCGAGGCGGCCGCGCATATTGGCTGACCCGGGTTTGCAAAGACCTGCGTTGCAGTTTTTTTTCCTGAAATTCATTTTTGTTGATTTTTATGCTGACCATGGTCTGGATTGACCCGGGTCAGAAGATCCCCGAGGTGGTGATTGAGTCGGGGGCGGCGAAGAAGGGGGTGATGACTAGGGTGAAGTCGGGCCTGTCCCTCTTATCGAAAGTTCTCAAAACATGCTATAGCGATGATGTTTGGATCAGTCTTATTGTTAATCTTGATTTGTCCTCCAAAATCGCCTGTAGGGGGACACGCCCGACCTGAGACTAGGGGGGTAGATAAGATGGCGGGGGCCATGATCTCCCCTCATTTTTCATGGCCACTCTTCGTATTTCATTACGTCCCCGGCCACCCCCCTGGGCCGCGCTCGTACCGCCAGCCATGATTTGCGCCCCCCCCCCTCCCCTTGGACGCCCCCGAAAGAGGGGGGGGTGCTTCGAGATGTATACCAAGGCTTGTTCGCATCTTGTGATCATAATCACGACAGGAGGTCTTTTAGCAGGTCTCGGCCCCAAGGACCTTCAAGACCTACCCGGGATGAATAACTGGTCCTGGGGAAGGGGTCGGGACTTCTGGGGACGGCGTCCCTCTGGGAAATATTCCCAAACAAATATAACACGTCGCACGTTTGGGAAGCATCGCCCCCTATGGTACCCCCCTCTTGAACGCCAATCATCACCCCTCAACGAGCCCCTCGCAGTAATGATGATAGCACGGCTGGGCCACGATACCGCCTCGGGTTTCACGGCCCCGTCTTGCTATTGCAAAGCGTCCCTTGGCCCACCGTCCTGGGCCGCGCACGTGCTTCGGGCCCCATGATGTGCTAGCCCCCCTCTCCGACCCTTCCGATTTCAAAGCCACGAACGGGGTGGGGGATAGCCATGGGGTGGGCTGCCCAGGGGTACAGAGGGGGTGGGTGGGGCACGGGGGGGCAATTTTATGCTTAAGTTGGGCATGTCCTCTTGCAGGAGGAAGATTCACAAACGGTAAAACATTTTTTGTTACTGTTAGGATCTATTGGAATATGTTTGACTCTTCTTTTGACTTTCCTTTCACAATCCGCCTGCAGGAGGACATGACCGACCTAATTTTAGGCCTCCCAGGGCCCCGAACGGGTCCCAGGGCTGTGAAAAACCACTCACGATGAAAAGCCAGTCTTCTTGAAGGGGACCGGTCGCTTAGGGAGCCAGTTTCCGAAAAAAAAACACAGCGTCGGATGTCTGGGACGGGGAGGGGGGAGGGACGGGCCAAGGGAGGCGACTTCCTCGGAATCAAGGTCCGAGGTTTTGGGACATTTTCGTCGGTCCTCCGCGGTTCTCCAGTCTCGGCATGATGATTTCCAGCAGCTGCGCCTCGCCGACAGCTCTCCGGAGGGTGCCCAGAGCACTCCGGAAGGCCGCCGGAGACCCGAGGTACAGGCCTCGGAACAAATTAGCGAACACATGCCACATTCATCCGTCAACGCCTCCCCCTCCCCCCAATGTTCAAAGTTGGCGGTGGGTCTGATAAGATGCACTTCGACCGCAGTCTCCCCCGCGCGTGCCAACATTGAGTTTGGGGGGGAGGGGGAGTGTTCAGTAACTGTTTCCCTCTACCGTATGGCCCGAAAGCCAGGGGGATCGGCGGTCCGCACGAGAAGCCTCGATCCCCTGGTCTCCAACTCCTCCTCCTCCTCCTCCTCCTTCCCCTCCTCCTCCTCCTCCTCCTCCTCCTCCTCCTCCTCCTCCTCCTCCTCCTCCTCCTCCTCCTCCTCCTCCTGATACTCCTCCTACTCCTCCTCCTCCTCCTCCTGCTCCTCCTCCTGATACTCCTCCTCCTCCTCCTCCTCCTCCGCCGAGCGGGGCGCACGTGCCGCGCCCTGCCCAGGCACGCTCGGTGTCTCTCTGCATCGGGGACCTGTCGCCGATCCATCGGCCATGCATCGCCGAGTCCAGGTCGAAGTCTCTCAGGAGAGGAAAAAGCACACAGACACAATTCATCGTCGATTCCCCGGAAAATATGGGAAGATATGGGACGTGGGGGGGAAGACGAACACCCAGAAAATATGTGAAAATATGGGGCATCTTGTATCTGTGTGTATTTATTTGTGTGTCCTGGGGCCCCTTCAGTTTCCCCCCCGAGCAGGTCCCTCCCCGGGTCCCCACCCGTAATCGCTCGAAGACGGCATGAGCGTAAATGTTCAGGGCTCCGTGCGGGTCTCTTGGATCGGCGTTGGACCTCATAAGACGGCGCCTCCGCTCGAGGGCGCCGGCCCTTGGCGCGTTCCGCGAGCCAGGGGGAGTGTCCAGCGCCGAGTCAGCAGATCCGCGCGGACCTCCGAAAGTTCATTGCTTATTGCAAATTCTTGACGCTTCGCTTATTGCAGTTCTCCACTTGTGGTCGTCTCTTCTGCGCGGCCCGCTCTGACTCGACTCGCCGCTGGCGCGCTCGCCTGCGGTTGGCGACAAAAAGTATCCCTACTTGTATTGTTGTGCGCGCGCTAGGTAATTAGGTTTCGCTCGTAGCTGACTTCGGACGCCGCCTGCGCCTTCGCTTGCGGCCGCATCCACAACAAAAATCCCACTTGCCAATCAAGTCAAACGCTCATGCGAGCTGGCTTGGTCAGGACCAACTTCTGCAAGCTCGCCTGATCAGCACTGGACGAGGAGGAGGAAAGGGGGACAAGGATGAGGACGAAGACGAGCAGTAAGAGTCAGAGAACGAGGAGGGGGAGGAGGAGGAGGAGGAGGAGGAGGAGGAGGCGGAGGAGGAGGGGAGGCAGACGCTGGCAGCTTTCTTAGGATTGGAGTCTATGTATGCCCTCTTGAGGTCCTCCTGGGGATCTCTCGCGGCCCTCTTGGGACCCTCCTGGGTTTTTGTTTGGACGGACTTGAGGGCTATCTTGGAGCCGTCTTGGGGACCCCTGTGGGAGCTTCGGAGAGCTTCTTGGGACCAGATCGGAGGGCGTCGATTATAAGAAGGGGGATGCTCGAATTCCCCCCCGCCCCTTGAAGTCAGCAACGTCGTCTCTTGGGTCCCTCTTGGGGCGCCCTTGGGGAGCTCTTGGGCGGGCCCCTCTGGGGGCCATCTGGAGGCCTCTCAACCGCATCGGAAGCGAGCAGGCGAGAAAGCAAACATCGCTAATATTCCTAAGGGTTTGGCGGATTTGGGCCTCTTGGGGGTGGGGTACTTGGGGGTCTCCCGGAGCACGTCGGGCCCTGTCGTGGTCCTTTCGGAGCCTCTTGGGGCATGTCGGAGGCCAACTTGGATCATCTTCGGCTGCCTTGAGTTATTCTATATTCCTTGTTCAAAAAATCTGGCTATCTTGAGCCACCTGGAAGACCATCTTGAAACATCGGGGGCCCTCCTTGCGCAGTCTTGGGCACTCGCCGCGCGAATGGGCGCATGTTTTCACATCCGCAGTGAAGGCATGCTTCGGACGAGGAGAACAAGACATCCGCTGGACCACATACGCTCATAAAAGTCGGGCATGTCCATCTACAAGAGGAATATTCAGAGGCGTGATTTTCCAACTATTACTTTACAAAGTGATGGGTGAAACAAACACGATGTCCACCTGGGCCCCCGGAGGAGCGGAAATGCGAGCGCAATCGCGCGTGGTCACGCGCGACCGTCCGCTGGTATTAACGCGAATGCGCGGACGTCGCGGCGACGACGACGGCGACGACGACGACAACGGCGGCGTCGGCGCCGACGGCGACGACGACGGCGGCAACGGCGATTGCGGCGACGACGAATGTCGCGGCGACGGCGGCGACAGGGCCTGGGCCCACGGGCGAACTTGTGCCCCGCCCTCGTTCTTGCAGCCCCGCGCCAGATTTGATGGGAGGGGCGAGATTTTCGGCGCGCGGTTTTACCCGGGCTGTCTCTCCGCTAAACGCCCTTTTTGCTTTAGTGTAACGTTTGTTTTGTTTTCTTCGGAGTGCATTGAGCGGCGCGTCTCTACTAAAGCCGCTTTCTCGCTCTAGTAAAGCCGCTTCCTCGCTTCAGTAAAGCCGCTCCCTCGCTTTAGTGGAGCCGCTTCTCCGCTTTCGTAGAGGCCGCGGTCTGCCTTGGTAGAGCCCTGGGGGGTGCGGGGCAAGGGCCCGGTCGGGAGGCGGAGGAGGGAGGGAGGGAGGGAGGGAGGAAGGGAGGGAGGGAGGAGGGAGGGGAAGGAGGGAGGGAGGGAGGAGGAGGAGGGGAGGAGAAGGAGGAGCTTGCCTCCCCTGCCAGTTCCCACCGCGATGCCATTTCTCGAGTAAGCAGGGTCGCGTTGTGCGTCGGGCCGCGGCGATCCTCCCTCCCCCTCCCCCTCCCCCCTCCCCCCTCCTCCTCCTCCTCCCCCTCCCCCTCCTCCTCCTCCTCCTCCTCCTCCTCCTCCTCCTCCTCCTCGACATCTTCTCAGCGAGTTGTAGGTGCTCCTTGGCAGGAGATTCGGGGCGCGGGCGCAGAACGTGGCTGGGCAATTCGGACGCACCGCCGCGGCTGTCGCGCAACAGGGCAACAGCAGAAAGGCTCGTTTCTTTCAGCATGTAGCTCCTTCAAAATTGTAGTGTGCATTTTCCGTTACCTAAAAATTCAAAAATAGCCCAAGAAGAGTCTGGGGACGATATTACCACAAATCCGCTTGTAGGAGGACATGTCCGACCCAACGCCAAACCGCCTACGCCCAGAGGGCTGGTAGGATTCCATATAGGTCTCGTTTTGATACCCCCGGCTTTTGGAAACCCAGACGTTGCAGACCAGGGTTCTGCCAGACCCAGCCGGAGGAACTGGAGGCCGGATGATGCTTCGACCCCCGCAGCCGCAGTTTGTTATTTTGCGTACTTGTGATTTGGTTTACCAAACATTTCTGTTCACTGGGCCTTGAGTCATGAAGCAAAGGGGTCCTGAGGAAGACGGGTCCAGCAGTTTGGGACTCTCGCCTTCCAGGGCTTTCCATACTGTCAACCCGCATAGTGCGGATGGGCAACCCTGCCAAGGGTACCATTGCATCCTTGCCTCCTCGGCCCATCCTTTGCCGCTTTCGTTGGCCGCGGCCCGTTCGAAAGGCTTCGAATTGGGCGCCCCCAAGGCCTTTGCTTCCTTCACGCGCATCCTTACTCTACGGGTTGTCTGTATGCCCTGGGGCCGACAAAAAACGGTTCAGGACTTTCAAGCTGACCCTGGGTAAAGCCCCCGGGGTCCGTCCGGGACCGGTCGCTTCTGGAACCCAGTCCACACTTTTTGAGCCACGGCATCCTGGCAACGGGGCAAAGTGGGTCCAGGCTCGAGGATCAAGGGCGGAAGTTGTCGGCGTTTTTCGCTCCTTTTTGGCTTTCCAAGGGGAGAAAAGAAGTAATCAGGGAGGGGGCAGGAGCAGAAGCAGCAGCGGGGGATTGCACGGAGGGAGAGAAGCAGAAGTTCTCAGAAGGGAGGGGGGGAGGAGGGAGGTAGGCAAGGAGGGGCATGAGCCGCATTGGGGGGGGAACCGGAACACCAGGAAACATTTGGAGGAGGAGGTCGAGAGGCACCTTCGAGTTTTTCCACTGCTGAGTGCCTCCTCCTCCTCCTCCTCCTCGTCCTCGTCCTCGTCCTCGTCCTCCTTTTCTTGTCCCTCCGTAGCCATTTCGGCTGAAGAGGAGCCGTTCTGCTTCAGAGGGGAGGGGAGGTAGTGACATTCCACCCTCTCTTCAGGTATGAGCTTACTGCCACCGACCCTTCAGAACGGCTGGCTGACAGCGGGCTGTTTGTTCGGTTGTTGCCCTTTTTTTTGCACACGGCCGCCCCGCAAAGTCTTTGCGGAGTGGGTCTCGCGATGGTCACCCTCATTTTGGTCGTGCGCTGTCTATATCAGAAAGGTGTGTCTGCGGCCTGTGCACATGTACGAACAATCCTATCCATTTCAGTTGTTGCAAGCACTGCGGCAGCCACTGGACAACAACTCGCCGTTGACGGAGGACCAGCTCGGGAAGACGCGCGCGCCGTGGTGCATTGGTGTTGGCTGGTCCATCTGGGCGTATCCCGTCATCACTCGCAGGAAGAAATTCCCAGGAGCAGCGTGAGCAGCTAGTCGTTCTGTGTAAGAGCTTCGGCGACCCACCCCTGCTGTCTCAGGCGAAGGCACACGTTGCTAGGATGGGGCGCTCATCGCCAGCAGTCCCTCAGGTTAGAGCGGATGCTGCTCTCAAGGAGATGCAGCGCCTTGCGAAGAGGTTGGCCAAGGATCCGGGGTCGGTCCACGACTAGGAACGACGCTTGGGGCTGCGACGTGCTGTTCTTGCGGGCACGCTGGACGAGCTGGACGTACACGAGTCGCAGTACAAACGTGCTGTTGTGGAGCAACACAATGCCGTGTCGCCTCAGACCCAGAGCGAGGTGGCGCCGACGCTCCGCCTCTCGGACATCCTGGAGGGGAAGCCCTCGGCGCTACAGGTGGTCGACGGCGACATGTTCGGGTTTTGCGACGACCAGGACCTCTCTGATCAGGATGAGCAGGAGCCTGGGAACAGGAAGCAGCAGCTGTCGGAACCTATCCAGAAGCTTTATCATACCGTTCGTCGGCGACGTACAGGCCAAGGCCCTGGAGGTGCGCAAGCAGCACCAGGAACAGCTGGCCGGAGGGTACGAGTAGGAAGACGGGGACGCCTGAGAGAGGAGAGGCGGCCCCAGGGGAAGACTCACAGGCCGCCCCCGCCACCCTGAAGCCCCCGCCTGCTGCGGGCGTCGCCGCCGGAGGTGCGGTACGGCAGTCGACAGGGGTGCCAAGGCCCCGCCGCCAGGGGCAGCCCCGCCCAAGACGCCTGGGGAGGGGGCCGCCCCCCTAGAAGGCAGCGTCAGCAACACCCAAGTGGCCGATTCAGCAGAAACAGCAAAGCGTGGCAGTCACCCTCCTACCCCCTTCTCCTAGACTCACGGCTGCCCGCCCAGTTTGGGATGCCAGAGCGAAAGACGTTCGGGCATCACCAATCAGTATGGAGACTGTCACTGCCAAATGCACCAGTGGGGCTTCCAGATGGAAACTTGCGAAAAGAACCACAGCGCGCGTCGTCCGGTCCCAGGAGCTCAAGCTGCTGTCGGCAGAGAAATCCAGGAAAGGCCACAGCGTGGGGAGCAAGGAACGGATGGCAAGCCACCCTCGAACTTGGCACCAAAGGCCTTTGAGAGGGCTCATTTTCTTGCGTGGGGTTCTGACCCGGGGCGACCTTGGCCCACGATCATCTCTCGCAGGGCCATCGGGACCCGCGTGCACCTCCCAGACCAGGCTAGCATCTAGTGCGCGAGTCCCTACCTGCAGGATTGCACAGGCCTCGACAAGGTTAATCAGAACATGTTGGCGCGCACAGCTTCGCGCGCCAGCAGCATCTCGGCGCCTTTCGTCATGCGCGCGGCGGACTTTAACCCGGGGCCTCCAACTCTGTCGGCGACGGCCATCCTCGTTAAACTTGGCGCGGACAATGTGTTCCCCGATGGGGCGGAAAGTGTTTGCTGTGGCGGGGGTTCAAGATGCATGACTTTCTCCTGGTGTGTTCCTGCATTGCGCAGGGGATTAGGAAGGTTGACGTTGTGGGTGGCTCCCTGCTTAGGCACGCATGACCCCGTTTGCGTGCCCTTCCACCCTTGCCTTGCCCTCCATCAAGGCTCTCGCCTGCCGTCGGCGCCCGCCCTTCCCACACCCTCGGACCCTTCCCCCACCCGACTGGGAAGTTGTGGACAAGGTGGCCTGATTTTGACAATCTCGACCAGCCCAGTTTAACCTTGACACTCTGCTGAGAAGGAGTTGGAAGGCGCGTTACCTGTTTCACCACAGTAGTCAGCTTTAGTGGGTGAATGTGCTGGATTGTGCTCCGAGGAAGCCTGTCGAGGTCTCTGGGGTTTCGCGGCTGGCGTCTCAACTCAGGTGGCTGAGCAGCTTTCAATCACCCAAATCTTAACAGGGTTTGGCCGGACGCTGAGGCCAACAGCGTGATCCGCCCTTTCGACTCATTTGGCCCTCGTGGACACCAGTCTCCTGCTCTCGTCTTCTTTTGTGCTGCGGGGGCGCGTGCCACCACAATGGGACGCTGGTGCACGCCCGCCTGCCAGCGTCCCGCCCCTCGCCCTCGTGCGTGGCGCAGTGCGTTTGCCGCATCGGCACCCGGAGGGTGTGGAGGCGTCGATTTGATGTCAGTGCCGTGCTCGACGGCTGCTCGGCCCTTCCCAGAGGTCGAGAAGACTTCGAACTCTGTTCGCAGCAGGACAGGGCAGCGGCAAAATCCTCTGCCAGTTCCCCTGCTCCAGCTCATCCTCCTCCGCTTCCTCCCTGGCCGGCCTCCCTCCGTCCCCCTCCCGTTCCTCATCCATCCTTGGCTTCCCCCTTCTCCTCCTGCCACGCACTGGTGCTCCAGCCGGCGGCCTTCCTTCGGCGCCGTCCTCTCCCGTCCTGCGTGGTGCAGGACGAGGAGATGCCGTACTGTGTGGACCTCGTCACGGCCTTCCGAAGCGAGGACCCGCGCTCTGGGCGCCACGCCCTGTCGTAGTCGACGCGCTTAGTTCAGGCCAGCCACAACTGGGGGAGCTGTGGTCCTTACCCACCTGGGGGACCCATTGGTTTCGACACCCATCTCGAGAGATCGTCGATGCGATGGGTTCCCCCAGAGGGGGTAAGGACCACAGCTCCCCCAGATATGGCTGGTCGGTAGTTGCTCGTGTGGATCCACCCGCGGGGGCGCGCAGTTACTACAACCCCGCATCGCGCCTGCGCGGTCTGGGGTCCGAGGCCGAGACCTGCCTTGTTTTGCGAAGATGGCCGCGCACCGCGAAGATTGATAGTTTCGGTGGCCAAGGCTCGTGGGCAGGAGCATGGCCAAGGCTTCCCCGCGGAAGTGACTGTCGATCGGCCACGTGGGCCACAGCGCCGTGGTCCCGTTGCCGGAGCCACTCGCCCGCTTGCACCCGGCGGCGGTGGCACGAGGTGGGGTTTCTTGGGAAGCCCGGTGGCCGTCTTACATCAGTGGAAACCCATGTCACTCAGCACCCTCCCATGGCAGGAGCACGGCCATGATCTTCTGCTTGCCACCGAGCTCGCCAAACGGCGAACAGCACAGTGGGCATCTTCAGGTGCAGGCCTGCGGTCCTGACGAGTTTCCATCCATGCTTAGTGCGATGTCTTGGGCGACACACACGGGGACACACACGCATACACACACGCGCACACACACACGCAGACCCATGCACACACACAAACACACGCGCACACACATAACACACAGTCGTAGATATATACGTACACGTGATACATACACATATTTAGATACACGTGCATACCGACCTACTTACCTACCTACCTCCCGACCTATCTACGTACCTACCTACATAAGTACTTACCGATCCACCTACCTACATACATACTTGCATGCATACATACATTCCCACCCCTTCCCACACGCACACTTACATCTAGTGGCCTTCGACCCATCCCGCCACCGTGCTTGGGTTGTCTGTCATATGCCCATTGGATGCCTATGATAATAGATTGGGAGAGCGTTCGGCAGCCTCGCGGTTTTGTGGATGGTTTGGAGCCCTTTGGGGGACTTCTTGTAGGAATGGTTTGGACCTCTTGGGGCCTCCTGAGGCCTCTTAGGGGGCACCTCGGGGGCCTCTGGGGGCCATCTTGAGGCGGTGGGCTCAACATGTCAGTTCGTGTTCCCCCTCTTGGGCCCCCCCTTAGGGTTGTCTCGGGGGCCTCCTGGGCCCCTCTAGGGGGCTCTTCGGCCGTTTTGGAGGCGATCTTGGGCGCCTCTTTGGCCGTCTGAGACGCTCTGAAAACCCCAAATTACGGCAATGCCAGAACCACGCAACAACCATTAGATGTTGACGATGTTGGCCCCTCTGGCCGCCCTCCATGGCCTCCAAGACGGCCCAGGAGGCGCCCAAGAGAGCTCCAGGACGTTCCTCGGGGCCTTATTCTGCCATGTCGGACATGCATGTCCCGAGCAGAGCGCTCGTGGCCTCCGAACAAGTCGTGCGGGACACTCCCAGGGGCACCGACGATCGCCCAGGAGCGCCCGAAAGTCTGGGCTGTAGGCCTGGATGCTTGCAGTGCTTTGTACAGGTAGCTCGCAGGGACCTGCAGGCACCCCAAGTCGCGCATCAGGGCACGGTGGTGGGTGTATGTCTGTATATCTTTATATATATGTGTAGATCTAGAGAGAGGGATAGATAGAGAGAGGACACCTGTATATATGTGTGTATATATATATGTATATAGATGTTTAAATTTTGAGAGGGATAGAGAACACGTGAGAGAGGGATAAGAGAGATAACAATAAATATAGAAAAAGAGACATGTGTGTGTACAGAGATACTTACACACATACATAAACATATACACATAGCTACACATTTGCTTATAATCGTCTACGTATATATGCAAGAGGACTATCGAGTGAGAGGGATAACGTCGAGGAATTAGGAGGAAGCATGAAGCAAGGATCACGAGGAGGAGGATGAGGAACACGTAGGGAGAGGATATGGGGGTGCGAGTGGGGGGGGGGTCGGGCGGGGAGAGGCGGAGGAGGAAGAGGGGGGGGAGGGGAGGAGGGCGAGGGAGGACCGGGGGCGGACGGCGAGGAGGCGAGTGCCTGGGAAGGGCCCGCCCGCCTTCTCGCCAGCACGCCCCGCTCTACAAGCGCTTCCTCGACAGACGCGGGGGCGAGGAGGCTCGCTCGCGCACTTGCGCGCGCGCGCCGCCGCGCGCACCGCCGTCGTCGCGTCCGCCGTCGGTCGTCGGTCGTCGTCGGTCGTCGTCGGTCGTCGGTCATCGTCGCTGCTGTCGGCCGTCGTCGTCGTCGTCGTCTTTGTCGTCGTCATGGTCGTCGTCGTCGTCGTCCTCTGAGGGCGACGGGGGACGAGGAGCGGGGAGGGAAAGGGCCGAGCAGGGGGAATTGGAGAAGGACGGAAGAGGATGATGGAGGGCGGAGGGGGACGACGCAGTTGGGGCGGAGGAATATTGTAGATGTGGACGGAGGAGGGGGAGGAGTACGGATGGGGACAGTGAAGAACTCAGAAGAGGAGGATGGAGGCAGGGCGGTAGAAGGAGAACGACGAGGACGAGTCCATGGCGGATCTTTAACCCTTGTGCGCCACTCGTAATATTTGTTCTTCGCCGCCTGCATGTTTCCTCCTTCCCCGCCCCTTCGTTTTTTGTTGTTCTCTCTCTCTCTTTCTTCCCTGCCTTCCTCCATCATGCTCTGCCCTTCGCCCTACACCACCCCCCTCCCTTCAGATATCTTCCCTCCCCTCTGTCTTCCTCCCCCCTCCTCCTCTCGCTTCTGCCCCTCACACGCGCCTTCCTCCTCTGCCTCTGGCATGATCCCCTTCTCCCCCCGTCGGCACACCGGCACCAACGCGCCGCGGGCCCCCGGCCGCGCGCGGCCCCGATCCGGCGCAGGCGGCGCGTCCCGGCGTTGGCCTGCCCGCTGGCAGCCCCGGGAAGAAGGGCAGCGATGGCCGGTCAGAGCCCCGAATCATCAGGGGTAACTCGGGTCAGGGCTAACTCGGGTTCGTTTTTCGGGATTCCGAACCCGAGTTACCCCGGACCCGAGTTACCCCGGATAATTCGGGCGTCCAGAGCCCCAAAATCACCAAGGGTAACTCGGGACAGGGCTAACTCGGGTTCGTTTTACGGGAATCCAAACCCGAGTTACCCCGGACCCGAGTTACCCCGGATCACTCGGGCGCCCAAGATGGCGGGCGCCCCCCCCGAGCGCGCGCTGCTGCCGAAGCGGCCCGCGGCGCCCTCCCGGCGACGGCGGCGGCGAGCAGCAGAGCGGCGACGAGGGCGCCGCAGCGGCGACGAGCGCAGGGCGGGGGCCTGCGGCCTCGAAGGGCAGCGCCAGCGGCTCCCAGCCCTTCCTCCTTACCAAGAGGGCGAAAAGGAGCACCTGGACCCAGAGACCCTCATGCCAGTCGAGGACTGAAGCAGTCCAGACTCTGTAGGTCTACAGTTTTGGAGCTGCATTTCCTCCGCACCCTGGCAGGTCGGGGAGGACATCGGCGCCCAAAGCGTGCAGCCCCAGAGGGCCCCGCCGACGCCGAGGCGGCGCCATTCTGGCAAGCGGGGGCCGCGGCGCGGCCGGGCGCGCGTGCCCAGCCGCCGCCGCCGCGCGGCGGGCTGCCCCGATCGCCTGCTCGGCGAGGCCGTCGCGACGCGGGACACCCGCCGCGCGGTGGGCCCGCCGGCGCGGCGCACGACAGGGTCTCCGCGCCGGAGGCCCCGGCGAGCGAGGAGCGCGAGGCGGGCGGGCGCGAGTGCCCGGCCTCCAGCGCGGGCGCCGGGGCCTGCGCGGCCGCAGACCCGGCCCCGCCCCGAGCGCCCTCGACGGCGAAGGGGAGCCCGCCGACGGGGTCGCGGAGGCCGGATCAGCTCCGGCGATCCCCTTCTCTCTGTCAAGAGGAAGCTTCCGCCGCAGCCGTCGTGACGACAAAGGCTGGATCCACCGCCGCCGCGTCCCGCCCACTGGCCCCCCCGCTCTTCCGCACCCCCCCCCAATCACCAATGCCTCTCGGCCCCCCCGGCGAGTGTGTTGGGGGCGAAGACGAGCAAGAGGAGGAGGAGGAGGAGGAGGAGGAGGAGGAGGAGGAGGAGGAGGAGGAGGAGGAGGAGGGGGAGGAGGAAGAGGAGGTGCCGCCATGCCACAGGGCTCCAGGATGCAATCGACGAGTTCTAAACGTTTGGAGTTTCCCGCGTCGGCGGCTGCGCTTACGTATAGTTTGAGCACGCCAGAAGGAATCCTACATTCCCCCTGGGTGTTTCTACGCGTGTGCACGTTTCGAACGGTCAATAGCGAAGGTCCGTGCCGTCCGACATCTTTTTCACTGAAGGATTTGAAAAAACTGCGGGGCGGGGCGCGGCCTGGGTCAGCGGGACACGATGTTTCATAGCCGTGCCCGTTCCATGTGGTTCTGTGGTTTCTTCCCAATCATTCGGAAATTATCGCTTAGCCCCCCTCTCCCCAAGTTCCCCCTTGCTTTCGAGGGCAGAGAAGGCGGGCTGCAAGTTCTTTGTTGCTCTTTCTTGTTACGCATTGAGTCCGCGAGGTCTCTATCTCTCTCTCGCGCGCGCTCGTCCGTAGAGGACGGCGCGCTGGAGAGTTTTTTAGAAGGGCAGCGGGTTGTTTCATCCTGCCGTGCCTGATAGCCGCGGGAGAGAAACATCGGGGAGGTCGCCAAGACGCGTTTTTCGCCCCCCCGACCGCCGCCACTTGGCAGCTGCTCTGAGGAGGGAACTGGTCCTGGACTCCAGCCCTGAGTCCCCAGCCAGGCTGAGCAACCCCGGGGGCAAAGCGCCCCCCGCAAATAGTCCGTGGATGCCTGAGTTCCTCCTTGGCTTGGCCAAGCTGCGTTTCCGGAGACTCCCGTATGGCCCTTCTACCTCGATCGCCCTCCTCCTTCCGTCCCTCGGAACGCGAAGAGAAACGAACGATCAGCGCAGCAGAGGAGACGGCAGGGGAAAGGGGAGGATTAGATTTGGCGTGGCTGGCGGGGCTCGTGTGTTCGCTGGTCCTGCTCGTTTTCCCATGCGCAGGCTCCACTCGGCAAGGATGGCAGAGCGATTTGCGGAGGCTCGATCCCCCTTTCCCTCCCTCCCTCCACTCCCTCCCTCCATCCTCTCTGCATAGCTTGTTGGGCCTCCAGCCATTGCAAATTCGAGCTGTGTAGGTCCGCTTGTCATGCCCCTCATGGATTCGGCCATGTGGTCATGCATACTGACCCCACTGCTGGGTGCGATTTTTTCTCCAGCAGCGATTTATTTCAGAACGTGCTGTAAGTCACCCAGACGACTTTCGGCGCTCACTCTGGGATCCTAGGGACGCGTGTTCCCACCGCCACTGCTCATCAGACCGGGGTTTCGCAGTGCAGGCAGGCTGCAATTTTACGCCCCATGTCCGTGTTGCATCGCATTGTGTAGCATCAATCCCACTAACTGGGATAGACCCAGTCAGGCTGCAGAGTCTTGCAGCGAAGCGTACGGCTCCCTCCCAGGTGTTGATTTTTTCGTCGGCCAATGTCGTGGCCCACCGTACTCCCTAGTATTGGGGCCTGTCCGGGGTGAGCGACTCGTGCAAAGCGCGGTCGCCCCTTCATCTTGTTCCTCTGTTTCTCTTTTTCTTGGACCTGCCTCTTCGGAGGCAGGCAACCGTCCTAGTCCTAGTCCCTCCATACCCTCTGTTTCCAGCTCGAGGTCGTCGGCGTTTCCACCGACTTCGTGTTGAACTTCCGCGGCGGAGACCGCCGCTGGGGCCGGGTAGTTCTCGTGCGTCGAAAGCGGTTGCCCAGCCTCGTACCCCATGTGTCCTTTTCCGCATCCGCCGTGGAAGGACATCGGACATCGGCACGATCGAGATTGGTACGGAAGGTGGAGCCATGACAGAAAGCAGTTTCGGTATCGCCGCGGGCGTTGCCCATTTGAAACACAAAATCGTTTGCCCAGCAACGACCGTTGTCGGCTTTTGAGCAACATATCGCACTCAATGTTGCCGCAATCTCGGGCGTAATTGCCGAGGACGGGCTTTTGCGTCAAACGAGTCCACGACCCCGGGCTTCCCCCCGGGGCCCGCCTTTTGATTCCCAGTCGTTTCTGGCAGCCCTGGGGCCCGTGGAGAGCCCTCACGCACCCGCAAACCGAGAAAACATTCCTGGACCCCGTTCCGCCAGGAGTCATTTTTTGATGATGATGTCGCTTCACCCCAATGTCCCCCCCTTTCTTCCTTGGAAAGGGGGAGCACGATGCGGACGGAACGGGGGGGGGAGGCTGGAGGACATTAGTGAGAGGGACGCAGAGAGACAAGGGGGAGGGACGGAGGGGGGGCGGCAAGCTAGGAGCGTTCGCGTCACATCTGACGTCCTACCCGTCCGTCCCATCCCGCACCATGGCGTTAATGTGTTTCTTTGTTCGCACGGTTTGATGTTGCATCGCAAATATTGTCGCCGCGCAGCGGCACATAACATACCATGGCATATCATTGTGATGAAGATCGAAGTGCGCTATAGCATAGCATGTTGTGGCATTGCGTAGTCCAGCGTTGCATACCCCAGCGGTGCAGCCGAAGGCGTGGCATCGCACAGCGGAGCACCTCATATAATTGCACCGCATGCCGTGGCAGCTGGCCAGTGGACACCTCAGTGGCAGTTGAAACAATGACGCCAACGCTGCAGCGGGAGCACGATTCGGAACGAACGGATGCGCGGAAATGAGGCCAGCGCTGCAGCGGGAACGCGGTTCGGAACGAGCGGCGGAAATGCGGAAATGAGGCCAGTGATGCAGCGGGAACACGATTCGGAACGAGCGGAAACCCGAACATGAGGCCAGTGTTTCAGCGGGAACGACATGTTGGAAAACAACCCAAGCGAAAACCCCAGTCCGGAAACCTTGTGCGCAAGAAGCAATACGTTGAATGGGGGCCGAACATCATCCAGACGTCATCATGGGAGAGAAGAAAGTAGTATTCATATTGTGTAGAATTCTGAAGGGAGGGAAGGGATGAATGGGGGAGGGAAGGGGGGAAGGGATGGAGGGAAGGGAAGGGGGGGGGAAGGGAGGGAAGGGAGGGAGGGAAGGGAAGGGAGGGAGGGGAGGGAAGGGAGGGTGGGTGGGAGGGAAGGAAGGGGGGGGGCGAGGGGAGTGAGTGTTGGGTGGGGGGGGGGGAAAGGAGAGGGAGGCGAGGGAGGGAGGCGCCCGTGCCCCCGAGGCGGCGGTGGACGACCCCTTCGAGGCACCGCGCCGCCCGCCGCCCGCCACTGCGGGGGGGGGGGGGGGGGGGGCGGCGCTCGGCGGCCGCCCGCGTGGCCCCGGGCCGTGCCGCCCCGTTTTTTTTTGTTTTGTTTTTGTCTCTCGTTTTTTTGGAGGGTTTTTGTTCTTCATTATTTGTTACTTCTTTCTCTTTTTTTTGGGGGTGGGGGGCGTCGCATGCTGTCAACCCGCACAGTGAGGATGTGTGCACGAACGAGATGGGCACGGAAAGGATGCTTGGCATCGCTCGGACGTGTGCATTTTTCCTTCGGCGAGGACCATCGAGGAGCATCCTTGATCATCTGGCGAAAAAACCACGCACGAAACAGAAAACAAAACACAGTGAATGGACGTCCGAGCGATGGCCAGGATGGGTACAAGGCTCAACAGCAGTTTCTTAGGGGAACAGAAAGTGGCATAAACATAACAATTCGGGGGTCCGCGCGGATTTCTCGGAGCCGCGCTGGGCCCCCCTGGCGGCGCCTCCGGCGCCGCCCATGGCGCGCGGAGCGCGCCAGGGGGGGGGGTTCAGCGCCGATCCGAGAAATCCGCGCGGACCTCAGAGTTTTTATGCTTATGCCACTTTTTGTTACCCTATTTCTGTTCATTCTGAACAGGGCTCGCTGTCCGTGCCGCCGCGGCCTGTGTCCATGTCCACTTGGAGACAGAAGGCCCCCTGTCCAACAGCGGCCGCTGTCGGTTTGGGGCAGCATGTGTTGTTGGGTAGTGTACCCATTTTGTTCGTACCCATTTCGGGCGTCTAAAGGATGGGCAATTTTCCCAAGGGTATTCTTGCATCTTTCAGGGGGGGGGCAAAACACACACACACAGGCACAATGAATCGTCGATTCCCAGAAGATATGTGAAAATATGGGAAGTGTGGGGAAGACGATCATCAACAAAACCTGGGAAAATATTGGGAATCCTGTTACTGCGGAGGCCTTACGGCCGGTGCCGCCGACCCTGAGAACGAGAACGATAAAGATGGAAACGAGGGGGGGGGCAGGGGGAAGGAGGATGAGTGGGAGGTGGAGGAAGGGTGGAGGAGTTGGATGGGGGGAGGTGCGGGGAGAAGGATGTGGAGGAGAAGCAAGATGAGGAGACAGAGGCAGAGGAGAGCAGGAGGAGGGGGAGCAGAGGGGGGGGGGAGGAGGAGGAGGAGGAGGAGGAGGAGGAGGAGGAGGAGGAGGAGGAGGAGGAGGAGGAGGAGGCCAGAGGCTTTCTTGGGACAGCCTGGGGCTCTCTTGAGGCTGCCTTGGGCCGTCCGGGGCTCCTCTTGCGCTGTCTCGAGGCACTCTTTGGGGCCTCCTGGGCAATTTGGGGCTCTCCTAGGCTGTCTTGGGGCAGTTTGGGGGCCCCTCGGGAGCCTCTTGGGGCCTCTTGGGGCTTCTTCGGGGCCTCTTGAGGGCCTCTTGGGGCTGAGAGCTCGAAATGCCTGTTCGGGTCCCCCGTTTGGGCACTCTCCTGGAGCCGTCTTGGGGGTCTCTTGGGCCGTCTTGGAGGCGGGTTGGGCCGTCTTGGTGCCCTCTTTGGCCGTTAGGGGACCCTCTTGGGGGCCTCTTGGGCCGTCTCGGGGCGATGTTGGTGGCCGTCTTGGCGCGTCGTGAAGCGGAAGAGACAAGAACACCAAAATCTTCCAAACACGTATGGGAATTCCATGAATTTTGCCTCTTGGGGCTCTCGTGGGAGAGCTCCTGGAGGCATCTTGGGGCGCTTTGCAGGCCTCTTGGGCCGTCTGGAAGCCGTCAAGGCGTCTTGGACAGATCGTTCGGCGATTCGGGGTTCTCTTGGACTGTCTTTGGGGCCTCTTGGGGCACTCTTGGCCCCTTTTGAGGCTTTTTTGGACTCAGAGACTCCCCGGGGGGGCGTCGTATCTGACTCCCCCCCCGGGACCCCCCCCGGGACCCCTCCCGGGGACCCCCCCCCCTGGCGGGGAGGAATCGAAGGGAAGGGGCTTCCCTTCGACTCCATTACGACGTTGCTCAACTTCGCTTTGGCTGGCGCGCTGAGGAGTTCCCTGGGAAAGGGGTGTGCTTCGACGAGCCAAGGGAAAGGGGGAGGCAGGGAAAGGGGACGACAGAGACGACGACCAACGAATGACGGAGATGACGACTTGAACGGACAAAAACTTACAAGCCCCTCACACACGCCGACAGGGTCGGCGGATTTCTTTCTATTTATTTGAGTGTCCCAGGGCCCCTTCAATGCTGGCCTCGTCGGTCCAGCCTTGGCCGCTTTTGCTGGCCGCGCCCCGCCCTCGAAGCGTCGGCGCGGTCATGCACGGCCCCTGCATCCTGATCGTGCGTCCTCGTGACACGGGTCGACTGCAGTGAGGGGGCGGTGAAGGGGGAGGGCAGCAGCGGGTGCAGAAACGAAACCTCTAGGGCCCCGGAGGAGAGGGCCCTCCAGGGCCCGGGCCCCAGGAGGGGGCTTCCTGGGCCCAAAGAGTGGACCGTTTCTGTGTGGGCAACGCCCGATCCTCCTCCTTCTCTTCGGCAGGCTGTCGGGCCGCGCATGCACGTGGCGTCACTTCCCCCCCATCCTCCTTCCTCCTCTTCCATTCCTCCTCCTTTTCAATAACTTCTCCCTGTCGCATCCCGAAGCCAGTTTTTAGGGCGGGCCGGGCGTTTCGCCTGATATTTCCTCACCAAGTCTGATTCTGAAGCTTAAACATTAGCAATAGCTTCACATATGGAAGGCGGGCCGAATCAACATGTGGCTCTCGCCTTAGCGCGGCGCACAGTCGGTTAAAGAGTTGCAAGAGTTTCACGGAGTGAGGGCGGGTTGTTTTCAAAATCTGGTTCTCGCCTTAGCGCCGCGCACGTTCGTTTAAAGCAACTGGAAGAGTTTCACGGATTGAGGGCGAGTGGTTTTCGAAGTGCGGTTCTCGCGTTAGCGCCGCGCATATTCATTTTCAACATTTGCAAGAGTTTCGCGGATTGAGGGCGGGTGGTTTTCAAAATGCTATCGTTTGCGCCGCGAGGGCGGTTCCTTGTTAAAATGCGGTTCTCGCCTATGCGCCGCTCACATTCGTTTCAAGAGTTTCACGGATCCCCATCGTCAGCGTACCAGAAACGGTGTTTTGGAAGGATTTAGGATTATGCGAGTGCGACAGTTACATTAGTTCTATGTATTCAAGTCTTAGGAATGGCTTTCTGGCATGATTCCGGATCGTCAAGACGCAACAGTCAGATTGATCCGTGGCGTTGGAATCCTGAGAACAATGTTGTGGCATGCTTCAGGGTCTTCAAACTGGTGTCTTCCAACGAGGCAGTTTGATCAATGGAAATGAACCGTTTTAGGGGTCTACGAAGAGGGAGCCTGGAGGGAGGGTTTACTCCAGCATCGTTGATGACTCTTGGATTACACTGGTCCTCCTCCTTCTCCTCCTCCTCTTCCTCCTTTTTCCTCATCGTTCTCGTCTTCCTCCCTCCTTCCCTCCTCCTTCTCTCCCTCCTCCTCTCCTTTTCCTCCTCATCCCTCATTTCCCTTCCTCCCCTTCCGCTTCCTTGTTTGTACATTTCTTTTCTTAGCAGATGGCCCCTTTTCCCTCCGACATGTCAGTAGAGTGGGCCGGGCGTTTTGCCTGAGACGTCTTCGCATGCATGATCCTTAAGTTTGACATTTGCAGCAGATGCACCGATAGATGGGGCGTTTAAAACATTGGGTTCCCGCTTCAACTCCGAAAGCAGTTTGCGGCAGCTAAACGGGTCTAGGGGGATCGTTTCCAACATGGGGCTCTCGCTTTCGTGTCGTGCTCGGTTTTCGGAATCTTGCAACACATGCAAGACTGAGGGGGGAAACGCTGCCTGCTGCATTAGCGCCGCGCACACTTGTTTGAAACGTACAGCAATTCTACTGATGCAGGGGCTTGGCATCAAATTCTGAGTCTTGCTCCAGCGCCGTGCGCTTTCGTTTGCAACGCTTGCGCCCGTTACAAGGATGGAGGGCGGCTCCTGCTTGTCGAACCGGGTGTCTCGTCGGTATGCCGTGCATGCTATTTCTAGGAACATGTAGCAGCGGCACGAATGGAAGCCAGGCCTTTTGCAGCATGTGGCGATCATTCGAGACGTGATGACACTGTCGCGATTCGAAGGTTGAACACCCATCTATAGCGGGTGGAGGGTACTCTTTTTTCCGAAATGGGGTTATCGTTTCAGATCCCCCAACACCTAACGACAATACGCGTCAACGTGTACCAGTTATCCGGATGGGGGGTGGCCCCTCTTCAAACCGGGGCTCTCGCTTGACACGTCGTTGCAGTGATTCACCTGACCTTGCCATTCGCATCCCACATACAGGCGGGCAGCTGAAGACGGAACCTTTTTGGTTGTGGAGGGGCTCAGTGTTCCTCAGTTTGTTTGTCGTTTTTGTCACAGATGTTCCTTACGTTACTTATGGGAAATCGAAGTTGAAATGACGGAATCACAGGGGCATCGATCCTTCCTTAAGGTTCCTTCTGGCAGCGTTTCGGCTGTCGCTCACTAGACGCAGGCAAGGCGACTCCATCTCAGAACGGGACGCTGGCCCGGAGGAGAGGTCCACACGGGGCGCTCGTCTCGTAAGAGGGGGCGCTGCTGCCTGTGAGAAGGAAGGCTCGCAGGGACTCGCGAGGAGGGTTACTGCAGCAGCATCGTTTATAGCAGAATCGCTTATTGCAGCAAGCAGCAGCAGCAGGAGCAGGTCCTCGCCTCCTGGCCCCCCTCCTCCTCCTCCTCCCACTCCTCCTCCTCCTCCTCCTCCTCCTCCCGCTCCCTCTCCTCCTTCTCCCCCTCCCCCCCCTCCTCTCTCTCCTCCTCCTCCTCCTCCTCCTCCTCCTCCTCCTCCTCCTCCTCCTCCTCCTCCTCCTCCCCCTCCTCCTCCTCCTTCCTCCTCCTCCTCCTCCTCCCTCTCCTCCTCCTCCTCCTCCTCCTCCTCCTCCTCCTCCTCCTCCTCCTCCTCCTCCTCCTCCTCCTCCTCCTCCTCCTCCCCGACCCGACCCAA